TGAGCAGCTTTGCTAAGCATGGTTTAGAGGCATTTGTACAGTTTTACAGTTGAACTTTATTGTTAGCCTGTTGATACCCTGCCCACTGTGGTTATTTTGTTAACTTGAAGAAGGTTCCAAGGGCTTAGTGACCAAGGAGTACTGTTTACCTGACCTCACCTATTTCCAAATTTTTTATTTTATTATTATTAGTGTTTTGATGATAACAAGAATAGGAATGACAATTATAGTATTTTTATAAGAAATCAACATAATTTTTTCATGGAAATCCAAGTAATGGGGAAAATGGACAGTGAAGCAATTGATATCAAATAAGCCTAGTAGTTGGCTCCTTGTTGCTGAAGTGCTTGTGAAGCCTTGTGTAAGTAGAATTCACAGAAGAAAACCAAAATGGACGGTGAATTTACCCAGCCTCAGTGGGTTAATGAATAACAGGGATATTACAGGAGAGAAAAAAGAGTGGAGCAACTTCACCAAGTCTCTCTTTTCTTCTTTTGTTCTCTTCTCCATCTTCCTCTGTGTAAGGCAAAGGGAGTAGGGTATCTACTAGATTGTATGATCAAGGAAAGTTTGTCAAGAGTGGCTTGTGTTTGAATTATCCTGTATTAACCTTCCACTAACCATGGCATATTTTGTAAGTGAAATCTTATTATTCTTTCACAGGTACGACATCTTAAGGGACGATGAAGCAAGAGAAGATTATGATTACATGCTTGATCACCCTGAACAGTTCTACCAAAATGTATACCGAGCGTGGCGCAGGCGCATGGCACCTCATGTCGATGTCAGAATTGTGCTTGCCGTTACCATATCCTGCATCTCTTTGGTTCAGTACTACAATGGATGGACAAAGTGAGTCACAGACCTTGCTGGGGAGGACTTCCTTTAGTGTATGTCGTTTGCAATCCTTGTCTTTAGATTGCCTGTCTAAATAAGAAAATGATGACGACCTAAACCCTCCTTTTTTTGTTCCTGCAGATACGAGGAAGCCATCAAGCACTTCTCCACGGTTCCCAAGTACAGAATCCATGCCATGGAGATAGCCAAGAAGGAGGGGATGCTCATCACAGACAAGAAGAAGCTGAAGGGCATGTCCAAGGATCAGATCAGAGAGCAGGAGGAGAAGGTGATTCGCCAGGTCATCGAAAAGAAGATGGACATTCGGGGCGTTTACGCGAAACCCACGTACAGGTAGCAGGTTTGATTTATTGCAGTTGCTAATATTGATTCATTATTAGTATTATTGTTGTATATTGTTGGTGTTTTGGATGTCTGTAGGTTTAACTTGGCTCAGACTTCCATTATATTACAGGTTAAGTTTAAAGATGTAGATATATTAAATCAGGATCACTGAATTTAATCCCTCCTGGACAGGCTTCATTTAAACCCTTTGATCCTGGTGCCTGCTGCCCACATGTGGCCCAAAATCTGGGCGTTGCGCATACTTGAGTGGCTACCCTCATGGGTTTGTGGCTTGTAGGTTGGGTGCACACAAACACTCATGGCATAACTTAACTCCATTTCCCTTTGCCATTTCGTTATCTTTTTCGGCAGAAGCCTTTTGCATTTTTGCTATTTTTTAATGTCTATAGTGTCCTTTTATATGCGTATGTATGGATATTACTGTTTCCTTGTAAAGTCTCCATATCAGTCACTAGGGAACTATAACAATAAGTAAGATTTTAAAAAGTTTTCATAATATTCAATATTCTATAATACAACCTGTGCTGCCAGTCACAGCAGACAGGAATAGATCCCGGTGCACCATATTTCCAGTCATGGCTCACGAATGTTACATTCCATGCTCTTTTACATATAGGAATAATGCAAGAGCCCCTTCCTAAATGCTCAGAGTCTTGTCACCCTCCAGAAGCTTTGTGCACTCGGAGCAAATCATTCCTCGTCACTACAGCCCTTGCCCAGATTTTTCCACTGCAGCACATTCATGTCACCCTGCCCTTGACCCTGATTTTTTCATGTGATGGTCACATCACCTGAATCATAGAGGTTACAGATGTGTATTTGGTAAAGACAGGTCCCATTTTTTTTTTTTTATTTATTAATTTTTTTTTTTTTCTGTATCCCAGGCATGTAGTTGTCTAGGCAGGAAGTTAAACTAAAGCATGTAATAGGTCTGTTGATGGCAGTGAGTGAGAATATTTGAATTATTTGCTTCCCCTACTCTCTCAAAGTCACTCTTAGTCCCCATTTTAACCTCTGTTCTGCTCTACATGTCTCTCCTTCCTTGTTCATCACTTGCTATTTTTAAAAGGCAGACCTTGTTTTCTTAAAATTTAGATTTTATTACATTGTATCCTCATACTTATTGGAGAGGCTAGATTATATTGTTGATTATTGTTAATCATGTTCTCCATCCCAACAAAGACTGCAAATAAGAATGGGTAGAGAACAGCAGGCATGGCCATTGAACACAGTGTTAAAGATAACTGAACTTCGCACATTTTCTCAAAACGGTCATCATGTTTGAAGATGCTGATGCTTTTCTTTCCTTGACTTTCAGGGATATTTTGTGGGTGCAGCTAGTGCTCCTTCCATATTGGACGTTTCAGTACATTTCTTGGTATGCCCGCTGGGTTTGGAAATTTGGCATTTTACGGGAAGAGTACGGAGATGAAGAGAAACTGTACATTATCCGGAAAAATATGGGCATGAGCGGCGGACAGTTTGATGTAAGTTTGTTACTTTTTAAAAAATGAAGATGCTTGTAGTTTTGTTGACTGAAATATTTGAAGGTGTGTAAATCATTCCATCACACCTTTTTTTTTCTTCTTTTTTTTTTTTTTTTTTTTTTCCTTTTTTCATTTAGAAAAGAAAATAATCAATGAATGGTGATTATTCTTTTCCAGAGTTTAGATGAGGAGATAAAGTTACAGTACCTAGACATGGAGTTGTGGGTGAAGGAGAAATTCAAGGCCTGGAAGGAGGAACGTGACATGGAATGGCGGGTCAAGATGGCGTCGTCGGGCCGCTACAAGTCCTACCGCCGTCACCTGAAAAACAATGGACCTGGTCGCATATACTTTGATGATTCTTAGATTGTGAGCTTACGTGCTTTTGTTTGTTGAAAGCATAATGATAACTTACTTTCACTGATAAGGGTATTACCTCAGCCTTCCAAGTTTAGCTCTATTTGTACAGTGTAAATTGTAAATGATAGCATTCTCATAGGTCTTGGTTTTGCAGCCGCACGTACAGGCCTTTCACACTGACATGTGGTCAAAGTAGTAAGGGCGTTTGCAAGTTTCTTTTTGTCCTTGGCCGTTTTATTTCGTGAACTACTACTTAATTATTACTTTTTGTCATTTTATTCTTTCTTTCGATGGATGATTTTTTTTAATGTTTACTGATACCAGATATGGTGCTGTTACATTTTAACTTTGTCTTTGCTGGCCTGAGACCAAATGGCAACACGTTTCATCTGTTATTACCTTAAGCCATGAGTGCCATATCCATGTACAGTCAGCTATAAACTAAAGATGTTATTTACTGTGTATATAGAAATACCCCAAGAGTGTAAACAAGAATGCCTCGGTAGATATTTGGTACTGTCAACTTCTGAGCTTTGGGTAAATCAGGTTTCATTCCGTGTCGGCTAAAATAATTTACTTATTTTCCGTAATTCCCTTGTTTGTTTCTAAGTTGTTTCCTCTGTGAACTTAGTAATTGCCAGTAAACAGACAATAGACTAGTAGGAACCACATCTGTCATGCCTTGACATTTTATATGAGTGCTTGTCCATAATTTGCGGCAACTTTTATCATGAAAGCAGATGAAATGTTATCAGACGATTTGCCAGTATTGTGAAATGACTACTTGTTGGGAAATAGTTCAGTGATTTCCTTTTTTCTATTTAGAATATGCTGTGGATGCAAGAAGTTAGGATATCAATTCTTTGTGACAGTTGTTGTTAATCATTATCATTATTATAATTATCATTATCATTCTTAATGATATTATCAATATATATGAGAATATTATCCTGGATGGATGGGATTTGTGAATTGCAGGGGATACAACAAAATGATACAGGCAATTGATCTATTTACGATACCTGATCTGTCTTGAGTTAGTCTCACGATTTACCACTGGTATATGAATGCATTGACAAGGTATGTAGATTTCCTTAATTTCGTGTCCATCCATGTACTTAATGCCACCATGAAAGAGGTTGATGAACAAATCCCGTAGCAAACAAACTGATGGGTTCGTGTTGGAAGGCAGAGTTTGGATTTGACCTTAGTGCTTAGTGATCATAAGGGTTATTGTCATTACCATCGTCTTTGTTATTTTTGCTATTATAGTCTCTTTTACAAAAATCAAAATATTGTAATACTACAATTTCTACAGTTGGTTGTGCATCTCTTCCTTATTTTGATGTAGGTTAGATATTTTCTCTTTTATTATGTATTTCATTATTTAGAAAGAAAAGATATGATTTGTTCCATCGTTAGCATGACAGAAGGAGAGGAATTATTAGCACCGGTTTGACCCAATGCGACTTGGATTTCCTGGAATGTCTTTGGATTGTGTATTTTAATTGAGCTCAAGGACTGTCCACCTCGAGTCAGATGTACCAGTTTCATCATCTCCCTTGTTTTGATACAGAGAGCAAACCAATCAAATCAGTTTTGAAATACTTCCTTCATAGGTATGTTGTATCATTTTCATAATTTGTTTAGTTATTGTGTCAGCTAAACAATGTTTTTTTTCTGATTTAATCAGTCTTTCCAAAACGTCTCATAGTCCTATTATACAAGAACTTCATAGAACATTAATTTTTAGAGAGAAAAAGATCTATAATTAGTGTAAACAAGAGAACACAAATGGCATATTCATATTCCACAAAGGCTTCATAAATCTGTATGTACAGAACCAGATGAAGGCATGTTGATGTCTTTGCACAGCCCAGCATTGGTGCTTCCCTCGCATTTCCGTTTGGTTCAAACAACTTCAAGGTCAGATAATCTCAAATACAACATTTTATAATTTTATACAACGGTAACCTCTTGTAAATGAGTGATTTCTTCTGATAAAAGATTTTTATTCTTGACCACTGGAACTTACCTGGCTAATGTGAAAAGGAAACTATATGAGGAATTACAAAGACAGAAAACAGCTGATGGAGTTCTGTTACAGAACCAGCTTTGTTTGCCCTCAAGTGTGGCAGTGAGAGTTAGCCAAGATAGCTTGTGGAAAAATCTCTTAGTACCCCGTGCATGGTCACATTTTGTTTAATCCAATCCTGACCTTTTGGAATTGTGATTCTTCCACAACGTTGGTTGATTGTGCACTAAAAGGAAAAGGTACACTGTACAAGAAGCTTGTAAGTTTAGTCAGAAAAGCCAGTTATTTAGAAAATGTCAACATAGATGTGGCTAGATTTTGTCATAAGTATTTACTTTGAAAGGATACATGTTGATGATACTGTTAATTGTAGGCCTCACTGCCAGTTTGCTGCCGAAAGTATTGTAAAAAGTCTTAACATCCAAACATGATGGGTTTTAAGAGCTCTCATGAACAAAAGAAAACCAGGGTGTTAAAAAGTGAACAGTGATACTAACTATATATCTCTCGCAAGTGCTCCCTCCGGAATGACTGACCGTTTCAGGAGTCATTTCCATTGGCATATTTGTCTTGTGATGAAAAAAGAAGTGAGGTAATGGCAAGCAGGAATGTCTTTTCTTAGTGACTAACCGTTTCTTTATTAATGGTACTGATATTCCGAAAGTTTCTGATGCATTAATTTTTATTACTATTATTATTATTATTATTATTTATTATAATTATTACTGCTTAATCTATTTAACTTTTTTTTGGGGAGGGGACATTAAAATAAATGTATGATGTAGGGCAATTGGTGATACTGCACTTGATATTGTAAGTTGCAAAGAATTTAATGGTTGTACTTGGATGTAGAGATTTATCATATATAATATAATTTCCAGATTCTAGCTCTCTGCACTTGTATCTGTTCTGTTCACTCTGGGAATGACAAAAAGTGTTTTTTTAGCATTTTCTCTTTCTTCCTTTTCCGTTTCTGGTGTACCGTATAAGCCACTCTCTTCAAGTTCTCCTCTCGTGCACAATTTCACAAGAAGTCGAGTGTTCTTCGAATTACTCACACACGGTATTAACGACTTTGTTTTAGAGTATTGGATGCGTATTTTTTCCACCCGTTCGGACCAAGGAGAATCTCACATGGTGCTGTGCTGTGTAGTGGTGTTCAGTCGTCCTTTGGCTTTCTTTATGGTCATTATTGTTTTCTTATTTATTGCTACTTTACCTTAGTGCTGGATGACCTTCGGTGTCGAGCACATTCATTTGTTTGGTGCATTAATGTTAACATTGTTTATTGCTATTGGTATTATTAGTGTCATTATTATTGGTATTATTTTTTATTATTTTTTATTTTTATTTTATTACTATTACTTATTGTTTATTTATTATATTTATTATCAATTATTGTTATTTATGAATTATGACTATTGATTATTTACTATCTTATTATTAGTTATTTAGTATCAGTTATTATAATAAATTATTTACTATCAATGATTATTATTATGATTGTTATTATTGTTGTTATTAATTAGTGATATTATTATTGTATAAATATTTTTTGGATGCTTTGTGTTACAGTTGCTACTTGGAGCAGGCATTGTCAGTTTTTTACTTTTTTCTTTTTCATTTCAAACTTGGGAGAAACTTTGACTTAAAAACTGCTTTAGTCTTTTATCTAAAGATTGTTTTTTGTGTTTCATGAGTTTTTTTTTTTATAATACTTTGAGTAAGGTCTGTTTTTTTAGCCCTTATATAGATGGCTCAATTGCATAGGCGTGCAGGTGCCGTTCAGGGCATAAGTTGTAAGAATGGCGCCTACTGTTTCGAGGGAGGTAAACGGAAATTATTGTGCAATACTATGATCAAAGGCAATTATTGTAACACATTGCAACAGAGACTACCCACTACATAAGTTGATTTTGAATAAAGAACCAAATCATGTTTTGTTTTGATTTACCTGGAAAATAGAAGTAATTTGTAATATATATACTGTCTGAGTTTAAGGCCCTTTTGCATGAAAGTAATTTGACAAACTCAGGAAAATTCTTACTGTCATTATGATATGTCTTTAAAAATGTACAAATGGTTTAGATGGCTGTCACTTTGATTCCATCTGATACCCTGACCCACCTCAGTCTCATGCCTGTTGTTGTCACGGGGCTTAGGAGATGAGACCAAGGCCTTATGTTGGGGATCGCCCCAACCTTGGGCCTCAGCCTTTAGCTCAACCAATTATGCAGTCTTTTCTTTTTCCACTTTCCTTTTCCTTCTCCTCTCCAACCCCTTCTTCTGAGAATTCTTTTTAACCCAACTAAGTGGGATCGATTTTTTGTGATTCCTCTACAGCCCCTTACTATCACAATTCCCTCCTCTTCCATCAAAGGCTCCAAAAAGAAGTAGGCAAAATTTCCATGTGTA